CTGAAATTTCATTACACAACTTTTAGAATTTGTTTCAGCTTCAAACCACAAAAATTAGTTATTTTAAATGGATGATTAGAAATTTTACAGACAGGTACCAGAAGCATTTGTGTCTGGGCTGGGTTGGCAGAAGAAACAAAAACTGGTCCGGTGAGTTTGGCTGTCCCTCCCCTGCTGGTCCCTCAGGCTATTCACACATTTACAGGGTGTCTATTGTGACTATTCAGAGTCGTCAGTTTCTTCCACATTTGGATGCTAAAAACCCAGTTGGCCCTCTGTCGGTAGTTCTAGGATGATACCCAGTCGCCCCCTCTTTGGTAGAGATAGGTATTTTTCAAGATCCTGGTAGTCCTAGTGTTAAAATGTCAACCTTCTTGCCAACCGTTCATTTTTATGTTGTAGTTCAGCTTCTGACCACTAGTTGGCAGCAGTGAGCCAGCCATTTGGCTCCTCTACCTCTTGAGCGCCAGAGAGTAAGGGTAGCATTAGCATTGTGAGTAAACATTAGTTTTTCTTTTTTTTTCAGTAAGAGGTTTTTGTTTAATAGAATTTTTGGACAAAAAAATCACAATATATCACAATATATTGCCTTGCTTACAGTATCGCAATATATCGGGATAAATCGTATCGTGACCCCTCTGCTATGATATGTATCGTATCGCCAAATTCTTGCCAACACACAGCCCTACTCTTTACATCGTTTTAGTTTCCCTTTCCTGACCCCATCCAAGGATACATCATGCTTATCAATATATGTCATCTTTTTTATTCTTCTATAAACCTTTGCTTTGCTTATGTCCCAAATGTTGCTGTGCACAATTGGTTTGAGAAAATATGTTGATTTTTTTTCCATTTCTTTCTTGAGGCTTTACTTTCTCACGCAGTCATTCTGAGAAATAATATGCTTTATTAGAYGGTAGCAGCGCAGCAAATGATTTCTCTGATTTGTTTCAGCAGWGCTCGATTTGCTTATTTGTTTCCAGGGCGTGCGTCCGCGGTTTGCTTTGAAGCAGATCAGAGGGGTGTAAGGCGAGTCGCTTGTCTTCCTCCTTGTGTTTGAGTGCCAGCTGTGGGGTTAGTAGGGTTTGCACCCGGATACAAAAGCTTCTTTTCCTCCTTTGTCTGCTTGCGATACTGCCATCAGACAAAAACACAGCACGAGCTAAACATACACCCGTATGCCATGGCTTTTTTGAGACTGTTAATAAGTCTGGGATGTGGAGTGTTCAGGGGTCATCGTCCCCTGGGCCCTTCTATTTGGAGACGTTCAGCAGTTGCTGTGCCAGTAGCCACAGGCCTGACC